CAGAGACTACCTGATGCAGGTTTGAGAACTAAACCAGCACTATATACCAGAGGTTATAAATGCTGGCGTATGTTGGAGCTCTAGCATAGCCCAAATGGAAAGCTCTTGCTAAGCACCTCAGGCATTTAGTTGAATATTCAGTGTTTCTGTATCAGAAAGGCCACATCCACACTAGGAAAAAGGACTACATCCTAGAGTAAAGGCTGCATTCCTAGGACTAAGTTGAAAACCACAGTAGACCCATTTTAACAAAGAATAAAATCAAGCCTAATGACCAGAAGGATATGTCAGTAATTAAACTGTCTTCCAGAATAAAATTTAACATGTTTTCAAGGAAAATGGTAATCCAGACTTCCAAAAAAGTATCATCACAATGTTTATCATACAATAAAAATAAAACTATACATGTAAAGGAGCAGTAAAAATTGAACAATAAAAGAGTAGTAAATAGAAATAGAACCTGAAATGCTCCAGATGTTGGAATTAGTAGAAAAGAACTTTAAGCTTATTAATATACATTCAAAGGCTTAAACAAAGAGGTAGTCTTAATGAGCTAACGGCAAAGAATATTTTTAAAAAGAAGAAAACTGCAGAATTGAAAAGTATAATATCTGAAATGAAAATTTTGCTAAATGAGCTTAACAGAAGATCGGAAACTGCAAAACAAAATGTTATGAACTTGAAGGCAGTTCGACAGAAATTAAAAACAGAGTCTCAGTGACCTGTGAGGAAACATCATGCAAGCAGTTTGCCATCATGTAAGCAGAGTCTAAGAAGGGATGGAGGAAGAAAACTGAGCAGAAAAAAACTATTTTATTTACAACATTTGGTGGAAAAACAATTCAACTCAAAATCAGAATGTCTCAACCTTGGCACTTGGCACTACTGACATTGTAAACTGGATAATTCTTTGTTGTGGGGGGCTGTCGTGGACATTGTAGAACGTTCAGCAGCATCCCTATCCTCTATTAACTAATTTCAAGTAATATCCTCTCCTACCTGAACTCTAAGCAAAGACAACCAAAAATACCTCCAAACATTGCCAAATGTTTCCTAGAGAATCAACATCATCCCTGGTTAAAACTATAGCTGCAGATCCAAGTAACTCAGCAAACCCAAAACAGGATAAATATACAAAAAATCACCTTAGACACATCAGAATAAGACTGCCAATGACAAAAAGAAAGAGAAAAATCTTAGTAGCTGATAGAGAAAAAGATACATTATGTACAGAGGAACAACAATGTCAATAATGGCTAACATTCATCAGAAACATTGGAGATCAGAAAACAATGAAACGAATTTTTTTTAGAATGCTGATAGAAAAAAACTATCAACCAAGAACTTTATAGACAGCAAAAAAATCCTTTCAAAACAAAATTTTATATTAAAAACACAGGAAAATGTGTGGCTAATTGACCTGCATTACAAGAAATGCTAAAGGGAGTTCTTCAGTCTTAAGGGCAATGTTACCAGATGAAAACTCAGATCTGTAGGAAAGGATGAAGTATACCAGAAATGGTAAACGTCTGGGTGAATATAATGCACCTGAAAGATAACTGTTACAAGCAAAAATAACAACATTGTATTGTGGTGTTATTACACAGATGAAAAATATATGACAAAATAGCACAAAAGATGGGTAGAAGGTAAGCAAAATTGCACTGCTATAACATTCTCTTATTTTAAGTATACAGTGATAAGTGAAGAATAAATATTTCAATCTCTGGAGAAACCACATACCAACATACATACACACACAAATACATGTACCACATATATATATAGAGCCAAAAAGTCAGAAGAATTAAAATTTCATATTAAAAATATATGATTAATCCTAACAAAGCTGAAAAGAATAGAGAAACTAAAAACAGAAGCAATAATTAGAAACAAATAAGAGAGTAGACTTAATCCCAATTATATTAATAATTATAATAAATCTAAATAGACCAGACACTATCATTAAAAGACTGAGATTATCAGACTGAATTTTAAAAAACACAAATTATATGCTGTCTACAAGAGATGTACTTTAATTACAAAGTTACAGATAGGTTAATAGTAAAGGATGAGAAAATATTAATCATACAGTAAGCCAAAGAAAGCAGGTAGGCCTATATTAACATGATACAAATTAATTTCAAGACAGAATATTACAGAGTTAAGAAGTAATGTTTCATAATAATAAAGGGTCAATTACTCCCTAAGATATCATTCTAAATATATGCACCTAATAACACAGCTTCTAAGTATATGAAGCAAAAATGAACAGAAAAGTAGAAATAAAGGGACAAACCCACAATGACAAATGCAGACTTTTTAAGAACAAGTAGACAAAATATTGGTATGGGAAGAAAACATTTGAACAACAATACTACATTGCCCTAACTGACATTTATAGAATACTGCAACTAACAACTGAAGAACAAACCTTCTTATCAAGTGTTTGCATATGCTGGGGCATAAAATAAGTATCAACAAATTTCAAAAGGTTAAAAAATGCATATTTTTGGGTGTCAATTAAGATTCATTGAAATGCCTGAAAGCATAATGATGAAATTAAGGTTCAAGTCACTTAGCTTGCTAGTAGCTGGCAGGGCAAGGAAACAAATATTGCTCTCACTGCAAATGGTATGTCCCTTTTGCCATATGCTGGAATAGGGCCTAGACTGGGAAAGATAAGGCAAACATACGAATCACCAGAAAATGCCATTCTTAGTCCAATAAGGCTGTCTGCATTGCCATTGGTCATTCTCTTTTCAGACTCTGCTGTACTATGTTAAAAGCTAGGAGGAGCTAAATTACTTGAGAAAAGTCATGTTAAAAACTTCATACAAAACCACATATCAGAGAGCTCAAGGGAGGGAATCAACCAATATATGCAACAAGGAATCCTGAGATTTTGGAACTGGAAGTACAACTGGTCAAGAAAATCTTCATTATGTGTGCGTGTGTATGTGTGTGTGTTTGTGCGTGTGTGCGCACATGTATGTGTGTGTGATTGCAGGATTGAGGGGAAGGGAGAAAAGGGGGAAAAGAGGTAAAAAGCAGAGACATGAATTCCAGTTTTTACTTTATGAAAAAAGGCTTCATTCAGATATAAACATTACCTATATTTTGATATTTTTATACATTAAAATAGGTTGCATTACACAATAATATCATATATATCTATAATATAGAAGACATTCATAATCAATGTGGAAAATTTGGGCACACTTAAGGACATATATAAAGAGCACTAGAAAGAAACCAAATGACTGGGTGAGGAGGATAGAATTGAGGCTGACGAAGTAAAAAAAAGAAAATCTAGAATAAAACCAGACGGGGCCTTGTGCTGTATAAAGACTGCAAAGCAGTATGATTAACTCACTTCTCTGCCCCTGAGGTCTACTGAAACCAAAGAAGATGGAATTAAGACGGAGAATAAAATAAACAAGGGTACCACTGTTAACATTTTGGAGACTATATATCCTTACATTCTTAGTTCTGTTTTTGTGTATACGCACACATACACATTTTGTGTTGTGTGTCCACATACATAGAAATAAAGATGATACTGTGTATAGATTTGGACCTGCCATATTTCCACTTAGCAATGAAGTGTAGTCTTCTGAGTCATTAATATTTTTTCTCTCATATCTCTCATAGGGCTGCATTATAATTATTAGTTGATTTTCTACTGTTTAGACATACCAAGTATTATTATAAATTAGGTGCATATAAAGTAGATAAGCATTCTGAGGAGCTTATTTCCAGTCTGTGTGTGTCTGTGTGTGTGTGGCAGGCAGGGGTGGTGGAGTGGGGGCAGTGTTGAAGGTTGTTGGAAATAGGAAAGAGGATGGCTTATGGCAGAGGTGATGTCTGAATTGCAGTTTGGATGGAAATGGGCTGAAGGGCATTTTAGCCCATTATTTAGTACAAAATAATGTTGGAGAGCAAGCAAAGGTTGAGATCATCACGTCAAGGAAAGACATAAAAGTGAAAGGATCATAACTGAGCTCTGATTATAAGCGTACTAGGGAACATGCTAGGCTCACCCAGCACTGAAAGATGAGTATTACAGTCTCCCCTAAGCAGATGAGGAAGGGTGGGGTGGTGTCTCTGAAACAGAAGGTAATTTGCCTAAGGCACCAACTATAATAGATATTGGAACCAGGATATCATGCTGTTTTCTCAGAGAACTTGAAGGTGTATTATTAGAGAGGGGTGGAAGATGAGACTGCTCCTCAGACCTCAAAAGGTCAAGCTAAAAAGTAAGAACTTTTACCAAATTCTCTTACTGTCTCACACTGACATATTGAATGACAAAAAAAAAAAAAAAAAAAAAAGGATTATCAGCAAATTTCCAAGAGGCTGTTCACAGAGCAGATTAATATAGCCTGAGACAAGTGGATTTCCCCAAGGATAGTACACTCTTTAGGGCATATTTCAAAAGCAAGTATTCCATCCCAAGCCAGCCGTAGAAAATTTCAAGGCAGTCCTTCAGTATCTATTTATCAGATAATTGTATTAGTAGGAACCTCCAATAGGCAGTCTCTAGTAAGCCATGCCAGGCATAAAAATGTTCAATGAGGCTAAGCAAACTCAGTGAGGACACTTCTAAATGCTAACTACACAGGGAAGGCAGATATAGTCTGAAGGTGAATTCTAGGAGAAAACCAAAAAACCCACAGCAAGCATTTGGAGGAAAATCTGCTACCTAAGGGCAAAGAGAACCCACTACTCCTCTGTTTCACTGGTCTCAAGGGCAAAGAAAGCTACTGCTAACTGTGGGTTCAGTTTCCGGTGTGGACTTGGCTTATGGAGACCTTCTCATAAACGTCTGGCCACTACACTCTCTTGTGGAAAAACCAAACGCTGAGCAAAAGTAAAGTCAATGGGAGGGGTTAATTTCTGTGCTTGGTTGGCGAGACAGGGTGGCCTACCTGGATCTATCTGCACTCTACATACAGAAGACATGAGCTAAATCCCAAAGGCCAAAAGCACACCCTTACCTGGTGGGTAGTAGGAGGTTGGTTCCTACCCTCTCTTCAGACTCCTTCCACTCAAAAAATGACTCTCCACGTGTTACTTTTCCCAAAAATTCTCGACTCAATAATAACCACTCCTGGAGAACCAGGAAAAGAAAAAAAGCATTTATTTAGTACTAGCTTGTTGTGATTAAAAGAACCTAGGATTTTCAAACAAGCATACCCGCATTCACAACACTGACTGTCCTTCCTTCCTATCTGTGTAACAGCAGGCAAACTAGTAAATCTCTCTAAGCCTCAGTTTTCTCAACTGTAAAATGGAGGCAGATAATATCCTCCTCCCATGTATGTGATGATTAAATGAGATAATGATGGATGAGCATTTGTCACCTAGAAGGCAATCATAAACAATATTTGCCTATGCATGCCCGCCTTCTTATTTCTATATGGGAAAGTAGAGGAGATCCTAATGGACAAAATACACACACACACACACACACACACACGAAAGGGAGAGAAGCACAAAAATGGTCTGCAGCTAGGAACTGCCACATCCTTCCATCAGTTCAGTGGAAAGGCCACTTACTTGCTGCATAACCTTATACCGAGAGAAGGCCTACGATACCTTCCTCATAGAATCATCACAACTATCTAATCCATCGTCTGTAAAAGCCCACTCACTGTCTGTTACATTTACAACTTAGTAAATGGCAACTTGAGGTGGAGGTGGATGTGGTAGCATTGAATTAACAACATAACTCACAAGGGCTCACCAACTGGGACTCAGAAATATTTTCTTTGGAGATTGGATGGGGATTTGAAATGTATAGAGATCAGGCATCTGGGAAACAGTCCTTAGATGGAAATCCTCATATGTAGACCCATCCTGCCTGAGGCAGGCTTACCAAGCAAAGGTATGAGGTCCCTCCCTGGCTCCCATGTTAACCAACTGTTCTGCCTGTCTTTCTGGCTTAATTATGCTCCAATAATCCTGACAATATTGGCTGGATTTCGCTGTAAATCATGACAGTGGAAATCCTAAAATAAAAGTAAGATTAATGCTTTGACCTCAATCTTGGCATGAGGGCTCATTAATTGCAAATCATGGAGTTAATTGAATTCTAGGCATAGCACTGCTAGCGGGATTAAATTTCCTGAGACCTATTTCTTTACCGACATGAAGATAACTGAAATGCACCAATGACAACTAAGCCAAATATTGGGGGTTGCTAAGGAGACAGATAATTATTTCCGTGGCACAGTAGTTGCCCAACCATCAGAAGAGTCTGATGTCACACTTTGGAGGACTGTCACTATTATTATAACCACCCTCCCTATCTTCTTCATGCTTAAGGGTGTGATGCAACCTCTCTGAACCTCAGTTTTGCGATAATACTTGTCAAGAATGAAATACACACATGTGCATATATCTACAAGAAGTGCTTAATAAAAAACAGCCATTATCATCATCCTATCTTCGACTCTTTGCCATCATTCATTATTACAAGGGCCCCTGGAGGGAGGAAAGAACTGTGTGGCTTTCCTTCTGCAGGCTGCACCCTGGTGAGCTACAGAAATGGCACCACAAATGGCAAAGAAAAATCACTGTACACCCAGGGCCTCCCTAAGTTCAAGGCAGCTTCTGTTTCTACTTAGCATCTGGCCAATGCAGATGCTAGTACTGTAGTCCCCTCTTATCCATAGAGGATACACTCCAAGAGCTGCAGTGGATGTCTGAAACCACAGATAATATTGAACCCAACTGCCATCAACTGGAACACGTTTCTGTTCATGTCTTCCACTCACAAATTGAAGCCTTTTCCATCTTAATAAAGCACTTACACACTGTGGCCATAACATTTGCCATCTGAGATGTAATGGCAAAACTAGCATGAATTCCTTTTTTCCTTGTTCACAATTTCACAGATAAAAGATTCATTCTTACCATAGATCTACACAACCTCGGAATACCATTTTTTTCCTTTTTTTATTAAGTCAGGAACTTTCACCTTTTCACTTAAAGGAAGCACTCTACAGCTTTTCTTTGGCATATCCAAGTTGCTGGCATCACTACTTTTGTGATTTGGGGTCATTATGAAGTAAAATAAGGGTCACTTGAACACAAGCACTGCAATAACCGAGATAGTCAATCTTATCACTTACACGGCTACTAAGTGACTAATAGGCAGTAACATAGATGCTAGACAAAGAGATGATGCATACCCCAGGTAGGACCAAGCAAGATGGTGCAAGATTTCATCACGCTACTCAAAATGGCATACAATTTAAAACTTAATGGATTATTTCTGGAATTTTCATAATACTTTCAGACCGCAGTTGACAGCGGATAACTGAAACCTTGGAAAGTGAAACCACGGGTAAGGTAGTCTACTGTTTGTCTCTTCACTTTCCTGCAGTCTGGTCTGTGTGGTTCCATCTGCTCTTCAGACAAAAAAATTACATGCATAAATTCTCATCCAACACTGACAGATGAGTATTGCAGTCTCCACTACACAGGAGGAAGGAGGAAGACTCTGAAATTGAGAGGAATGTGTATCAGGCAGTGGCAATGGTACATACTAGAGCCAAGGTATTATGGTGTTTCCTCATAGCACTGGGTGGACATAGAGGGTATATTAGAGAGGGGTGAGAGGTGAGACTGCAACGGTGAATGATGCTTAGATCTCAAAAGCCTTGAAAGTCAAACTAACCTTCAAAGGAGTAGATAAAGAAATTTAGAATCACTGGAAAGGGTGAGGAGATGCTTTTTTTGAAAGCTGCAACACAAAATTAATTGAGAATACACAAGAAGAGCTTAGCGAGAAGACAGTGCTTAATTTCTATCTGTATCAAGTACTCAGCATGACACTTACCATGGTAAGCCATCTAAAAAAGGACACTTAATTGAACTGAATTGAATCTGTCAAGAAACCAACAGTTTCTATTCACTTTTAAACCAATTTCAATTGCACTGAAGTGCAGCAAGATGATAACAGCAGTAGCCATCACTTATTAAACACCCTCTGATCCCTGGGAACTAGACTATAAGCTTTATGTCCATTATCTTACTTAATCTTCACAATTATGTTGCCAGGTAAGTTTGATTATCCCCCTTTTACAGAGCAGCAAACAGAACTTGTCTTAGACCATTTGGGCTGCTATAACAAAATACTATAAATTGAGTAGCTTATTAACAACATAAATGTATTCCTCACAGTTCTGGAGGCCGGAATGTCCAAGATCAAGGTGCCTGCAGATTTGGTACCTAGTGAGGTCCCACTTCTTTATTCATAGAAGGCCGTCTTCTCCCTGTATCTTCCCATGGTGAAAGAGACAAGCAAGTTCTCTGGGGCCCTCTTTTAGAGCGGCACTAATCCCATTCATGATGACTCTGCCATCATAACCTAATCACCTCCCAAAGGCCCTACCTCCAAATATTACCAATTAAGGAATAGGTTTCAGCATATGAATCTGGGAAAGAGGGGGACACAAATATTCAGCCCACAGCAGGACCAAACACAAAAATTTAGGTCATACAGCCAGGCTCTTCCCTAGGTCTGTCTTACTTCAAAGCCTGTGTTCCACTGACAACATTTTGCTACCTCCTATTATATTTGTTAAAAGCTTAAAAAATAAAAGGAAACAGTCAAACCTAAAAGCACTGCTGGAGAACAAAAAAGCCAGACCTTGGCCTGATGTCTGCTCTGCATTAATCTAAGGTTATTTTCAAGAACAGACACCCGGGAGTGGAAAACTGCTACGCATTCACTGCGTAGCAAAGAAATTAATGAAAACTAGTTTCTAAGGCTTGAACAGGCAGGAGTGGAAAACTGCAGTCCAGTTATGATCGTGGTTCCTCACAAAGGGATGATGACAGTGGCTCAAGATGCTCTTTCCTAATTCAGCCTCTCCTTGATGCCCAATCCCACCCACCCCACAGGCACACGCAGCCTTTAGGGTCAATAGCTGCTGTCTTTGACTCTCATGTTCAATAGCCACATGCACCAGCATTCCAGGGGTAGTGGCAGTAGAGCACAGGAGGTGGGGAAAGAGCATGAGCCCGAAGAACCAAACTGTAAATATGCTTTCCATCTTCCCCAAAGAACCACTCTACAGACTTGGAAACCTGCCCATTGTCAAGTCCCTTTGCGGTGTGAAAGTACATCAGTGCTGACAAACCCAGGGTCACATCCTTTTTTCTTTGAGAAAACTATGGCCGAAAGAGCTGAAAAGTCATTAGCAGCATCTGGTCTCTTCTGCTGCCTTTTAGATTCCAGGTAACACAATCAGAGCTCACAGGTGCTGAAATTTCAAAGACAGACACTAGTAACCATAAAAAGGGTCTCCAAAAAATGCAGGCGACAAGCAAGCAGGTGGTTTTCCATCATGAACAATATGCCCTCTGTAAAATCCACAGAATGGTAAGAATGATACATTGAAAGGGTTTGGTTTCCAAAGAAGGAACTAGGACCACGGCTAGCTTATAGATTGGAAGAGGGCAATGCAGCCCTTTGGTGTCTGGTATCAGTCTTCACTCAAACCCTGGAACAAGCCCATTTCTGTATAGCGTAACTGTACAAGTAAACACGGTTGTTCTGGGGGAATTCAGCCTTCACCAGGCTCCCACTGTGTGCTAGGTTCATGCAAGATGCTTCACACACACTGTTTCATTTCACCCTGAAAAAGACCTTAATAAAAATGCTATCAGTCCCAGTTAATGGGTACAGAAATGAGGCTCAGAGAGGTTGCATAACCTGCCCAAGCTAAGTGGTCTGGCAAAGTGGTGCAAGAGGTTCCCAAGGTGAAGTATCAGCCTAGGTACCAGGCTACGCATCAAAATAGCCTGGGGTGCCTGTTTTTAAAAATGCAGATTTTCAGATTTCTTTCAAATCAGAATCTCTGAGAGTAGAGCCTAAAGTCTACATCTTTCAACATCCCTCAGTAGCTTCTGATAAATAGAAAGTGCAATAACACAGCCACAGCCCTATGCCACACTGTGTGACAGAGGACAGACAGCCCTAAATGAAGGTCAGGCAGGGTCAGAGACAGAGGCAGAGGAGCTACCATTCACTGGACACTTTTTATCTGCCAAATGCTTGATATAGATCATCACACTTAATCACTACAACAACCTGCT